AAAATAAAATAATATATTTTATAAATTAAATTTATTGTCTCATTAAGGATTTGATTCAACTAGTTATTATAGATTAATTGTTTTACTTAAGGATACATTATTAAATAATAATTATCTAATTTATTCTTATCATTAACCTACAAATGAGAGTTACATAACCATGAGTCTTATAAATAAGACATATTTTTTTGCTCTACTAGAGGAAGTTCTTCCATATTCTTCTACTTTCTTGTTATTATAAAATTGTAGAATCCTGATGGTGACATGCTAAATATATCGTCTTAAAGTAAGTAAGTTTTTTACGTCTATTTTGATGATATTTTTTTATCAATATTTTTCAATAAATTCACTAATTAATATTTTATTTGAACTTGTGACTGAGGCACAATAATGACATGATGTAGAGATGGAGGAAAGTGTACGAAGAACAACAATTTAAGGTGATTCAATATGCAAAACAAAAGTGAAATATATGAGGCCTTGTGTAAAAGTTTTTGAGAACCAAAGTGGAAAAGGCTTCGGGTTAATATATTCCGGAAACTTAAGTTAAATTTTTTAAGCTTGCACGACCGAAGAGCTATTTGTGGCGATAAAATGTGAGATGAGCTAATATGCTCTTATGAAATCTTATGAGAAAATGAGTTTTTTTATGAACTCAATTATTTGAGAAATGTGAAAATCACATATTTGATATGCTCCCAATGTGGGGCATTGCGATATCCCTATGTATTATTTTTGGTGATGAGACCAATGGTGCTTAATTGAGATTTTGCATAGCATTCTTATTATACAATCAGGTACAATAGGGCTTAACAAAGAAAATGTAATATGGATTCCTATTATATAATAAGGTATAATGGTGCTTAAGAAAATAAATGTGATATGCATTCCTATTATACAATTATGGTATAATGGTGTATGGTAAAAAAGAATAAAGCATTTTACTTGAACAGGAGGGGTATGTGTTGGACATTCTTATTGTACAACAAGGTACAATGGTATTTGAGTTAAAAATTCTTATATACATGTCTCTACATGTATGGAAAGAAAATGGTGGTTCACTAGTTCAATTTGATATCAAATTTGTGGTACCATGAATTGAGAATTTGAGGAATGTGAATGCGAATGCGAATTTTATGAGCTAGTAGACATGTGGGTTGATGTGAAAAAGTGAGAAAAAGAATGAGTTAAATCTCTTAAATACATAGTCCAATGTCTAGTGCTCATCGAGGGGAATGAGATTCAAGCCCAATAATGTAGAACTTCCTATGAGGATAGCCAACCCGAATTTTGAGAATTGGGTTTTGAATGAGAAAAACGAATCGTAGAGAAGTCGTTGAAAGATGCATCAATATTTAATGGAAAAAATTTCCAATCCCATTCCTAAGGTGAGGATGCATCTATCCCATAACGAATTGAGGGTTGAGTTTTATACTCTTAATGAAATTTGTAGCTCATTGAGTGGGGTGTCTTAGTTATGGGAGCACTCTTGACAAATTTCACCTATGTGGGTGTCGAAGTAAGGTTGCTTCTATGAAAATTGAATAAGCAATTTTCTAGATCACCCATGAAAATCGAGATCATGTGCAAGGCCATAATGTGCCAGTATTGTGAAAAACTCAACATTCGGATCATTATGTGTGTGATACGATTCTTATATCTTCCAATGGGATCATAGTTCAAGACATAGTTTACTATTGACTTTGGATTAAGAATTGTTGACTCACTAAGTAAAGGTTCAAGACTTAGCTTCTTTTATTATGCATAATAATCCATCTTTGCTCAAAAGAAAATTTTATTTTTTATTAAAATAGTGGTGGAATTGTTGTAACTTAAATATTTTAATAAAAAAAATATTTTATAAATTGAATTTATTGTCTCATTAAGGACTTGGTCAAACTAGCTGTTGTAGGTTAATTGTCTTACTTAAGGGTACATTATTACATAATAATTGCCCAATTTATTCCTATCATTAACCTACAAATGAGAGTTACATGACCATGAGTCCTATAAATAGAATATGTCTTTTTGCTCAACTAGAGGAAGTTCCTCCATATTCTTTTACTTTCTTACCTTACTTTATCTGCAAAATATTTTTGGGTAAAGAAGGATGTTTTGAGTTAGGTGACTCTATGAGTAGTGCAAGTTCATGGAGTGTTATTATAAGGCTGTAGAATCCTGAGGGTGGCATGCTAAATATATCTTTGCTGCACCGATTGATCTACATTCCGTAGATACGTGAATCACCTTAAAGTAAGTAAAATTTTCACATCTATTTTGTTGATATTTTCTTATCAATATTTCTTGACAAGTTTACTAATTAATATTTTATTTGATCTTGTGATTAAGGCACGACAATGACATGATGTGAAATGGAGGAAAGTGTACGAGGAACAACAATAACAAGCATATAATAAT